TGCACTGAAAGGCAGGGTGGGTGGACTGGAGTCCCTCACCTCAGGAGGGTTCCAAACACCCCCCCAAAAGTTCAAGATGGGTAAACCCCATACCAGAGCTCCTTCTCCTCCACCATGCCCCAGCTCCCATGCTGCAGAAAGCACTGGGGTGGGGCTGGGCTACATCAACCCAGCTCTGCTCATGCACACAAACAGAAGTTAATGAAGGTGTTCTGCTTTGGGGCGCCTTCATCTGTACCTACATTAAATGAAGGTCAATTTGTCAAGCCATCAGGCACTTTTAAAGCATTCAGTAAACTTACATTTCTGTCAAAGCCTCTACAGCCATGCCATCAAGGGGCCAAATGTGCAACAAATATCACTTCTTTCAGTGCCCTTTAGTGTGGCCAGTGACAGTCCTAGAGTCAATCTGAAAGAACCAGGCAGCTTGGAAAATCTAACACAACCTGACAGAAAAACTCTTCTTCAAGGCTGTAGGTGGAATGACAGACTGGCTCCAACCTTGGTCTCGCTTAAGTAGTGCTCAGTTAAGAGCTCTAAGGGCTGTGAAGGAAACTTCTGCCATCCTATGACTAAGGCAGAGGGGACACACTCTGATCACTCCTATGCAAAATAAGGATTCTTCTCATAGGCTTACTGGATTTAGGTGGTAAAGTTACTCTTTGAATCCACATAGATCCTCTTAATCTCCCTAATAGAGAGCTCAGAAAGGAGCTATTTTTCATAACTGACTGTACAGTCAAGGGGAGAAAAATCTACCGTTCTTATGATGGTTAACCAATTCTCTGAGCCACCTGACTTGATTTTGTAGGAGCTAACTTTTCATGTACAGCAATCAGTTTGTCAAGGGCCACAGCTGAGAATTCAGAGAGAGACTACTACACAGGGAGCACTTTTTCCTTAGAACAGTGACTGATGAAGTTACTGGGAAACAAAGATCCATTAGTGGCTATTTTAGTTTGAATTTGCCCAAAATAATTGTGTTCAGTTTTAATGAAGGCAGTTTCAGTTTAAAAACAACAAAAGAAGCAATTGGAAGTTCTTATTAAGAATATTTGTTCACTGTTTTAGTTTTGGAAGTTTCTTCACTCCTGCTGTCTTTTTAATTGGTCCTTTCTTGGGATCCAATATTCTCTTGTTTCCTTGAACATTGTATCTTCCTCTGAAATAAAAAGTTAAAGAATTTAAGTCATTAAATGTCAGTTACCTTTGATGCTGTAAAAATTTTTGCTGCTGGAAATGTGTGTGCTTTTTATATCACCGTAACTGATTATCATGTTTAATTAATAAATCTGAGGGGAAAAAATAACAGTCTCTTGGTGTATGGTTATTTATTCTGTGTACAAATCCCAACCCTCATCTCATCGTTCCTGAATAACTTCATGTCATTTAAATGATGAAATTTAAAGCAGCGCGAACAGAATACTAAATGTTTGTAAAAACAGAAAAACAAAGAGACGGAGAAGACCCTTTCACCAAGTATACTCTCCATATCAAGGCACTGAAGAATGATTCTTGTACCTGTAATTATAGTTCTCCTCAGGTAGCTTCCTCCTGAGAGCCATGCTCTTAAGTCCCATGCCTTTACACATGAAACTTGGGCACCTGGCTAGGGAGTTTACATTCACTTCGTGGGAATACATAGCATTTGTACATAAAGCCTAGGAGAGTTATTACATTTGGATCTGAAAGGCAACATCAGTGGAAGTACAGAACAGAATTTACAAGGGAAGAAGGGGGAAATCCCCAAAGTAGGAGAGTCAGTCTCAAGAGAATGCAGTTTGTATTATGCAAAATGGCTACATCTATCTTGGTGTTCATCAGTTCAGTACATGGGCACTTTACATATTCTAGCAGAGATATACAGGTGTCTAGTTTCTCTCTTACCCAGTTGGAAGGTGGAGGAAAAGAGACCACACCAAAATTTACATGTTTATTTGCATACTGACAGATGAAGGAATATTTTGCATTTTGCTCTATAGTGAAAGTTGCGGTCATTTGATACGTTCTGGGAACAAGTTTCGGGTTTCTGGGTAAGTTGCCAAGAAAGCTATCTCCACTGCTTAATAATCTCACTCTTGAGATTGACAGCTCCATTGTTCCTGCTATCACAATCAGTCATGGTCATGAGGGGAGTTTTGACCCCTGAGGTATGTAGGGCTGCTTCCTCTGAAGGCTTTGAAAATCAGGACCAAAGCCTTTAATTTACTCAGTAATCAATAAAAAGCCATTGTAGAGCCAAGCTGAGCAGATAGGCACATCAATATCCCTCCTTTCCTCAACCGCCAGTTCTTACTGTCCTGCAGGCCCCATCAGATCTGGTGGAGAAACCATGATAAGGGAGTTTATATAAGCTGGTGGACACGTTCAAATGGTCAGTGAAGACAAACTATGTTAGGTCAGTGTTTTAAAAAGTCTTTATCGACTTGCTTATACAAACATAATTATACCATGGCTTGGGCTATCCACACCTACAGCAGCAATTATAACAAAATGTAAATATTGTTCCTTAACTTGACTGGAACCCAGAGAAGACAAGAGCTCTTGAAATGCAAGCTAAAGTAAGATGGAATGACTAGCAGGAAATTACGAGGTTATTTTCAGGGCCCAGTCTCATTTTACTACATAGAATTTACTGCACTGACTGAAATAAAGCTATTTTGATTAGTATTGATGTAAGGAAGAACAGAATTAGGCCCTCTGTCTTCAGAGCATTAGGTGAGTATTCATGCAGGAATACTGTGACAACTACCCTCTGTGTAACTTGGCATACGCTGGAAAAGACAGACAATTCCTTACATGTGCTTGTTTTTCCCCAAAGATACAGATTGTGCCAGATGACCATGCTAAAGTCTGTGATGCCATCTTAGACTAAGGTAGAAAACTCACCAGACTCAAAGCTCTAAGTTACTGGCTGTGGAAGCTAATGAAACACAACCTACTTGTTCCCTACTGACTCCAAATGCCAGTTTGAAAAGTGAAGAGTTCCCATCGTGCACAACATACAGAAATTTTGAGAACAGCAATTACAAGCAAATAATTCTTTTTTCTAATAAGAAAATCAGATCAACTATCATTCCACTCAAAGAGACACACTGGTCTCACAAAACAAAAACTGTGTAATTAATAACTATAGAGCAGGGCTCCTGTACAGCCAATATTCAATATCTGGCTGTGGATACTTGCTTCTTTAGTCCTCCATTGGAAACAAGGCAAAAGTATATTAGCTCTGACCACCCAGCTCCTCCACCTTAGCTGTGTAAAACATAGCAAGGACCAGAAGCAGCCTCTGGGTTGTCTACTGAGTACTGAAGACCCAAGCAAGGCTAATTTTAACTTAAGAACACACATTAAACTTCACTGTAATAAAGTTCTCCTGAACTCTCATCGGGAGACCCAAGAATGACAATTTATGGACTCTAGCCGACATTCCAAAAATTTACAAATGTATAGGATGAAGTTAAAATAGAAAATAAATGGGGGAAATTGTATGTTTCACATCAGTTCACTTTTACAATCTATTAATGGGTTAGCTGTTCTCAATTTCTATCTTGTGTCAATGGTAATAATATACTGGCAGTTAGTATTCTATTAGTATTTAGTTCTATTTCTAGTTCAGTTTAAAATAGTGCTCCAGTATGAAACATGGCTTAACAACTTCCCAGAAATACATCATTATTTCTAAATTACACAAAAATGTTATGTTCTCTTCAGATTGAAACAGTTCGAGGAAATATGTTTACACTCATATAACTACGAGGTGGCTTTGATTTAAGCACAGAAAATTTTAAAGAAACAGGTCTTGATAGTCTGTCATCTATAACGATTCATATTATCTTACATCAAACAGCTCTACTGACTGAAAAGAATCAGGCTGAGTATTAAAACTCATTACTTTTAATCTATCGGAGAATGTAAGAACTATTGAAACAGCTCAGTGTTTCAGGAAAAAAGACCTAATTTTAACAGATTTAAATGAGAGGGATACCAAATCATCCAGGTTTCTCAAAGACCACTCAAAATCAGTAGGTACTGTACATTCATTTGGTAATATTCATAATATTAGGTTATGAACTGATCCGAATCCCAACATCAACAGTGAGAGAGAGAGAGAGGCATCGGTATTTTGTTAGTGGATTATAAGTAGTGATATTTATCATAAATAGAGAACAAAGTACTCAAGAAACAGTATTTAGCAAAATGTATTAAGTCAGAAAAGACAGGGCACATGAAAAATATTTACCTTAGTATCTGATTCTCTCTTTTGTTGGGCACTGCATCCAGTTTCTGTCTTTCAGCAACTTTAAGTACAGCTGATGTCTGCAATTGTCAAATTTTTATAAGGAAAGTTAGGCCTTAATTATATTCACATCTAAGAGAGGAAATGTTCATACATTAATTTGGAAATGCATCAGTATGACCCTGATGCAACCAGGTGCTCTAAATGCATGTTTAATGTTAAGCAAATACTCTGTTTCTGTCTTACTGATTTCAATGACATAAACATATGTATATATGTTTTGCTGAACAAGGATGTCATTATGCATATTCACTAGCATTTAGGACAGGAATCCTATATCACCAATGTGTGAGCAGTTCTTTCCCATATACTATCCTGTATGGAGGAGTTGGCAACACAGTCCATGGGATGAATTCAGCCTGTGAAGTGATTTCATCCAGCCTGCAAGTGCATGTGTATTGGCACATCAACAGAAGAGGGAATTAGCAGCAAAAGCAGCAGTAGTGACGGCACTTGACAGCTTCCTCTAAGAGCACCAAAGATGAAGCAGCATAACATTCTGAAGGCCTATCACTTTTGTGGCCTGGGGGCTGTGTGTGGAGTTAGTTTGTGTGTGTCAAAAGCTGACAGGATCCTCTTGTCTTCCTAAGTTCACTGGTCTCAAGTGCAGCATGCCCCATGGAGGAGGGTTACGGAAACATGAGGCATAGCTATGCTTAAGGAGGCAATGGTGATATTTTATGAGCTGTATCTTCAAGATCATTTAAACAAATTACACCAATCTACTATGCCTATGGGACAAATGCTACTTTTGTGAGACCTTTTATTTTAAAATATATTGTAAGAATTATTAGCTTCTTATAGACCTAAACAATATAACTATATCAGAACACTTGGAAGATAAATATATCCTTAAAAAATACATAACAAGAAAGATATTTAAAAAAAAAAAGCAAACAAACCAAAACAACTCTTACTTCACATAATTGTTTCATCTTTGTTTCTACCAAAGACTTCAGGAATGACCCCATAGAAAAAAAAAGAAAAATAAAGAAAGAAAAGCATTCTTCATAGTGATAATTTAAATATCAATAAGAAAAAAGCTCTATTGCATTTGGTTTACTAAGCACTACTAGAGATAGAATGAGAAAATGTACATAAAAGTAGAGGTAAACCAATATACCAGTCCACATCATATTGGCACTGATAATAGGAAAATTGACATTATCAGCAATTGGCTTTTTTTGGCCAGTGTAGCTGATAATGTCTCCAATAAATGCCGCATGCATGCACGCAGGCACTGCATGCACATGGCCAGGAATGTAGCCTGGTAGCTTGGAGAGCAGCGTCCAGCTGGTAAGTCTGTGGGGGGGAAGGGGCAAGGGGGAGCAGGACAGCGAGGGAGGGAATGGGGCTGGAGCAGAGGTAGGTGCTGCCCAGCTGGGGGAGGCAGGGGGGCGCGGGGGCGGAGCATGGGACAGAGGTGCTGGATCAGGCACTGGACCAGGCAGCAGACAGCTTGTCCGTAGGGTGTGGGGACAGGAGGTGGCTCCCACTGCTACGTGCACCCGCAGGGGAGGTATGGGGAGTATATGACCCCCCCAGATTTGTGTGTGGGGTGAGAACAGACTGGGGCCATGGGCTACACCAGCTTATTCCTGACAGGCGGGTGGACCAGGGCGGTGCTTGGGGCAGGCGGCGGCAGTGCTGGAAGGGCTACAGCCTCCCAAAATTCCCCATAGCCCCCCCTCCCAGTGCCACTGCATGCCTCAAATGCAGCCCTGGCCCAGCCCCTGCCACGAAGATGTCAGCACTGCCCCCAGCCTCAGCCCACAGTGGGCAGCCTGCCCATGCCCTGAGCACAAATCTGGGAGGCACGTATCCCGTCCCCCTTGCCTCCCCAGGAATTCATATAGTGGCATGAGCCGCCCCCCTTCCCACACCCCAGACAAGCCACCTGCAGCTCCATCCCACGCCCTACCCCCCATCCCAGATGGGCAGTGCCTGTCCCTGCCCCTGCCCCTGCCCCAGGCCCATTCTCTCCCTCACCATGGAGGCCTCAATCTGCCTCCCTCCATAGCCCTTTCCTCCCGTGCGCTCCTTCCCCCCCTGCAGACTTACCAGCCAGACACTGCTCTCAAGTCTGCTGGGCTGCGCATCAGCAATCAGATTGGTATATCAGCAAAAAAAATCTTTATGGTGCACCCACACATAAAAGTAGAAATATGCATATCCATATACTGCAATAAAGAGCTACTATAAATGGAACAGATTGTTGTCATAGAATAATGGTCTCCTGTTGCTATATTTGCCTTGGTATATATGGAAAATGCTTACAAGCCATGAGTGGTATAGCTTCCCTTTCATGGCAGGCTTTGTCAATTTAATGTAGCAGACTTTAATATTGTGAATTTTTAATAAAGTTGAAAAAAGTGTGCTAAACATAAATGTACTTTTGCCTCCAGTATTCAATTAATATTCTACTGGAGATGGCTTGCACATGCAAATTTTGGGAGGGGGGAGGAAAAAAAAAATACATCAAACTGCATGTTGCAGTATCCCATAAGGCCATATAGTCTTCTGTTTGAGACTAGTTTTGAAATTGGTTGGATTACTTAAGTATGTACTATTCTCTGTGAGTAGCAAAAACCAAGTCCCAATGCAATGTGCTTAAAGCATATATATCTAAAGCATCATCTTCCTTATCATATGCAAAAAACAGAGCAATGGGCTGTTCATGGTCTTAAAGTTGGAAATATCTTAAGCATGTTGCTTTACTATAGACTAAGTGTTTTAGGTACAAAAGACTATTTAAGTCATCAGCTGAACTCAGTCATAACACTTATATTCTAATTTCCTGCTCTTCTCCTCCCACATAACATTCATATTACTGGTGATTGTCTGCCTTCATTGGTATAACATTGCAAACTTGTGCCCAGCAATTTTCCCTGATCACTTACAGCAACAATAACCACACACCATGAGCCACCTGCCCACTGTGCAAGCAAATGGAAACATTGCTAATTACAACCTCTCACCCCAGTTAGCTATACCAGGGATTCTATGACAGTTACTCCATTATAGAGTTCATAGGATCATAGGAAAGTTCTTATGTGTCATGCTAAGCTACTACTTTTACACAATTAGAGAATTAAGAGTGCTTTCAGAATAAGAAGTGCTATAATAAAATGCTTTAAAAGTGCTGTATTTTCAACTGGTTTATATGATCCCGTTCGTTACACAGTTTCACAGTGACACAATAAACCCAAGAGTGCCATAAAAATTAATAATTCATTTTATTAAAAAAAGATATTTAGGCCAGGACTCAAATTGCTTCCTAAAGTGCTGCAAGGCCTAAATATTAGGCTTCTTGTTCTAGGTGACTTGGTCTGACCTGGTTAGATACCTATATAGTCTATCAAGAGACTCTGGGGGCACCAACAACCTCAAGTTTCAGTGCTCTACACAGAGAATAGGGAGTACTGTGTGCCTCCAAAGAGCAATTTAGAAGGGCTTGAGGTACCTAGATGCAGCCAACAGGAAGCACTAAGCACCAAAATATGTCTGAAATCCTGCTCCTCTCAGAAGTTTAGGTGCCTATTCATGTCATCCACTAGGCATCTCTGTTCACCTGCAGTTTACAATGCCTATCCTCTCTTCTGAAGACAGCTGCCTAATGACTTCTTAAGAAACGCAGTTTTTTGGAAATGTTGTCCATGTCCATCTTTTGCCCAATAACTTAGTGGTTAGACCAATCACCCAAAAATAAAAGACCTTGGTTCTAGGGTTTCCTCAGCCTGAGGGGATTCCAATTCAGAACTCCAATTTCCCAAGAGAGCAGGAAGCACAGGCATTTCCAGGAGGCCATAGGGCCTATTGCTGTTTTCTAGCTAAAGACTGTTAAATATAAAATGCGTTATACAGTGCTGGAAGCACACCCTAGAACCCAGGATACAACAGACTGGTCAGTCTAACCTTGATTTTGGGAAAAATCTTTGAAAAAAATTGTCAAGGAGACCATCAACCACAAGCCTGTAACTGGTGGGATATTAAGAAGCAACCAGCATGGCTTTGTCGAGGGCAGATCATGCCTAACAAACCTGGTGTCCTTTTATGACCAGGTAACTAACTAATCAGCTGGACAAGGGGCATGAGGTTGACATCCTTTACCTAGACTTCAGCAAGGCCTTTGATACCGTTTCCCATGAGATCCTTTCAATTAAGCTGGAGGGTACTGGCCTAGACCAGTCTACAGTGAGGTGGGTAGACAACTGGCTCAGAGGTTGATCCCAGAGAGTTGTAATCGATGGGATGGCCTCATCCTGGAAGGCTGTCTACAGTAGTGTCCCCCAGGGATCAGTGCTTGGGCTCATGCTCTTTAACATCTTTATCAATGACTTGGATGAGGGGATGGAAAACACAATGATTAAGTTTGCAGACGACACCAAGCTGTGGGGAAAAGTGGGCACATCTAAGGACAGGGTAAGGATTTAAGATGACCTCGACAGACTGGTCCTATGGGCTGAATGCAATCAGATGAGGTTCAATAGTGACAAGTGCTGAGTCCTTCATCTAGGCAGGAAGAACCTTCACCATATCTATACAATGGGTGGTGGTCCACTGGCTGGCACAGCATCTGAAAGGGACCTGGGGGTGACAATCAACCAGAAGATGAATATGACCCAACAGCGCAATGAAGTCGCTAGCAGGGTAAATAGGACTCTGGCATGTATCAGCTAATGTGTTGCAAACAAATCCAGGTGCTCCTCCCACTCTATTCGGCATTGGTGAGGCCACAGCTGGAGTACTGTGTCTAGTTCTGGGCACTGCACTTCAGGAAGGATATGGATAAACTCAAAAGGGTACAGAGAAGGGCCACCCAGATGATCAGAGGCCTGGAGGATAGGCCCCCTGAGGAGAGACTCCAGGAACTGGGTTTGTTCAGTCTGAACAAGAGAAGACTGAAAGGTGACTTGATAGCCACCTACAAGTATGTTAAGGGTGAACACCAAGATCTAGGGGAGCAACTCCTCAGAAAGGCACCTCCAGGGAGGACAAGGACCAGTAGGGACAAGCTAACCGAGCAAAGATTTAGGTTGGACATTAGGAAAAATTTCTTTCCCATAAGGGTATCTAGAATCTGGAACACGCTCCCAAAAGGGGTGGTGCAGTCACCATCCTTGGAATTGTTCAAGAGGAGGCTGGACAAGCACCTTGTTGAGCTCATTTGAGCCCAATAACTTCCTGCCCACGACAGGGTATCAAACTTGATCTTACAGGTCCCTTCTAGTCCTTTGATTCTATGTCCTCATGGTAAAATTGGGGAACTGTGGCCTCGACAACCTTACGGTCTGTTGGCTGGGGAACTGGTTCATGGTCGGACCCAGAGAGTGACAGTCGATGGAACTGAGTCAACATGGTGCATGGTGACCAGTAGCATTCCCCAGGGCTCAGTACTCGGACCAGTACTCTTTAATATATTCATAAATTATCTGGATTCAGGTGTCAGAAGTGGATTGGCAGTTTGCAGATGACATCATATTATGTGGAAGTGCAGTCACGCCAGATAATAGGCTGGCAATTCAGGGCGACCTGGACAGGCTTGTAAGGTGGGCAGATCAAAACCAGATTCAACATGGAGAAATGCAAGATGCCCCACCTTGGGATAAAAAAACCCATATTATACTTATAGGCTCAGCAGTGCTACACTCACTAGCACCATGACTGAAAGAGACTTGGGGGTCATGGCTGACCACAAGATGAACATGAGCCACCAATGCAATGCCACAGCCAGAAAAGCAAATAAAACTCTGGCCCAAGAAGTCATCCTCCCACTTTACTCAGCCTTGGTGAGGCCACAGCTGGAGTACTGCATCCAATTCTGGGCTCCACACTTTAGAAAGGATGTGGAGAAGCTTGGGAGAGTCCAGAGGAGAGTCATACACATGATCAGAGAGCAAGAGAACAGGCCTTATGAGGAAAGGCTGAGAGGCATGGGACTCTAGCCTGGAGAAGTGAAGGCTCAAGGGTGAGTTGGTAGCAGCCTCTAAGTATATAAGGGATGTGCATAAGGAACTGAGAGAATGTCTGTTCACCAGGGCACCCCAAGAGAAGATAAGGTCTAACGATCACAAACTGCTGGAAGATTGTTTTAGACTGTACATAAGGAAAAGCTTTTTTACCGTCCAAGTCTCCAGATTCTGGAATAGACTCCTCCCAGAAGTGATGCAAGCACCTATTCTGGATACCTTTAAAGAAACACTTGGATACTTATCTTGAGGGGGGATCTGACCCCAGCTGACTTCCTGCCCCTTGGGCAGGGGGTTGGACCTGATGATCTCATGAGGTCCCTTCCAGCCCTAATGTCTATGAAATCTATGAAATATATGAATGCGCTTCTGGTTAGACTTAAGGCATCCTCAGACAATACCAGCTCTTAGTTTTCACTTTTTTTTTTTTTACTACAAAAAATAATAGAGCAATTCTTCTGTTGCAACAAATTCAGAAAGACCATAACAAATCAGAAGGTTTTTAGCACTATGGATTCCTATTTGAAATCCCTGCAGCTATCTTAGGATCATAGGAAAGCAGAGCTGGAAGTAGGGCTGGACTAGATAACCTTATGAGGCCCCACTCAGGGTAAGATTGTCTCTGACTAAACCATCCCACCCAAATGCCCATCTAACCTTGAAAAGTTTCCAAGGACGGAGATTCCACAATCCCTTTATAGGTAGCTGGCTCCAATGTTTGATGATCCTCATTGTCAGAAGGTTCCTCCTACTCTCCAATCTAAATTTCCTCTGCTGCAGCTTGAGGTCATTGCTTCTAGTCCTGTCCCTCACAGACAAAGAGAAAAGCCCATCTCAATCCTCTCTATAAATTGCTCTTCAGGTATTTGAATCAAATCCCCCCTCAGATTTCTCTTCTCCACAATAAATAACCCTAGTCCTTCATAAGTCTTGCTTCCCAGGATCCTAATCATTTTTGCTTCTCTCTGATGGAATCTTTCCAATCTGTCCACATCTTTCTTGAAGTGTGGGGCCCAAAACTGAACACAGTACTCCAGGTGACATCTCACCAGTGCCGGATAGAATGGAAGACTCCTTTCTTGTGATGTACAATTGACACTCCTGGAAATACAACAGAGGATGCTGTTGGCATTTTTTGCCACAAGAGCATACTGTTGACCCATATTCAGCTTATGGTGCACCATAACCACCAAATCCCTCACTGTAGTACTGCAGCCTACCCAGTCATTCTTCAGTCTTTATTTGTGCATGTGGTTATTCTGTCCCAAGAGCAGTATTTTGCACTTGTCTTCCTTGAATTTCATCTGGTTAATCACGGATCATTTTTCCAGTCTATCCAGGCCATTCCAGATCCTAGCTCTGCCCTCTGGAGTGTTTGCAATGCCACTCAACTTGGTGTCATCTGCAAATTAGCTAAACATGCACTTGGATCATCCAAATGCTGTAAATCGCATTTGTACACCTAACAGTGCTAACATTGTAGGGCACTCCATAGCCTCTTAAAAGGATCTCAAAGCACCCCAGGGTACAACAGCACCCTAGCTGAGAAACACTGCCCTGTAGGAACCCAACAACAATATGTAGCCAAATTACACCACATTTTTACTCTAATGCAAACACACTTAACAGTGGCTTCACATGCCTTTACATAAATTAAATCAACAGATCAACACCTTCAACTGTACCACATTTCTTTTAGGTAAGTTATTTTGCTTTTAAGATGCTGAGGCCATCTCCTGCATAGATAAAGGCAGTGGTTTTGATAATACATTAGCTGAATCTAGTCACAGTTAACCACTCTAATGCTCTAACAGAGTTACGTGGCACAGTGGTCTTTCTAGCGCTGAATATAACTAACAAACATGGCATAGTCTCTAAAAACTGCAGCTTAGTGATATTTTCCTTCTAAAGTTTGAAACAAGCCTCAATCCCATTTCCTTACTTACTCAATTCACCACACATTGGGAAATTTTCCTATGGTGTTAACAACACAGGTGGTCACATGGTAGTGGGGATCTCATTTTTTCTGTGCAAAGTGACAAACCTTTGGCCAAAACAATGCTTTGGCTGAATATGCAGTAATAGTTTAAGGAAAAAAACAGTCAGACAGTTATTCTAGGAACAGCATGAGCTGCAGCAATGCAGACTATAAAACTCGAGTTAGGTTCTTACATTAGGACCACCAGGGACCAGCAGCTATGCAGGGACAGTGCTGCCTGTCCTTTAAGGCAGCATGTCTGCTGGACTTTTATTCCTAAGACTTTCCACCTTGCTTCTCACAGCATAATTTTTGGTAGCAACAATGGATGTGTTAGCACGGACTGCTTGCTGACACCTGTGTCATTCAGCTCTGACCAAAACAAAGGTTAGATTATACAGTATCAATGACTTTTAAAGGAAATTTTAACTTAAAAAGTGCATTATAAAGACAGAGATAGGATTGGCTTGCTTTGCTTTTCAGCAATTGCTTCACATGACTCAGACCTGGATCTGAACTAGGTCAAAGTTTTTGTTGCTTACCTGTGAAATCTCTGCTATGTATTTACGTCTCTCATCATTGGCCTTGTGGTAAGCCTGCATTTGAAATAATGGATAAGCAGTTACATTTAAAATATTTAGCAAGGTTCCACCAAAAAGTAAGAGGAAACAAGTATATCCCAAAATTTTTTACCTTTAAATTTTACAGAATCATTACATTCCCTACATCACTACTGGAGAAAGTATGTCAGATGCCATAGTGCCATCTAAAAAAATACAAAAATCAAAAAACTTGCTAGATAGATACAGCAGTAACCAACCTTTGCTTCTTGTTCCAGTCTGAGCTCATAATCTTTCAGTTGGCTTTGGAGACTTTTCTTCTCTTTTTCTAGTTGTTTAACAAACTGATTTAAGGAGCCCTGCAGTTGTATATAAAATAAATCAATGCATTACAAATATTCCCACTCTGTCCAAAGATAGTTAGAAATGTTTATCACAATCTGGAATCTGAGTTACATGCTTCAAGGTCTGTGTGATTATCTTTGCTGTTTGTTCCCTTGTTGTTTACATAGCTCCTGCTGATTTACTCAGAGAGACAGACATTATGGACTGTATGTTGTAATCATTTATGCAGAGCAAATTTTCTCCATCCTTAAATGAGACACAGTTATTGCTGGCATAGCTTGTCTCTGCAGTGAACCAGAATGGAATTGCTAGTGACCACAGAGAGCTGACCTTTACATGTACCTTTCTAATTCTCCTCCTCCAAGCTGCTATTCAATAGGCTGGACATTCTAAGTCTTCACTGGACTCATATGTGGACACTAAATGCGAAGGCAGCATTTAGGTTACTTGAAGAACTGCACAGCATGACTGAGGTCAGAACAACCTCGCTGTGAAGGCGATAGTGCAGGGGGAAGGCTGTCTCTTTTTCCTGAACTTGAAATTACTTACTTTCTACCATCTAAGAACAGGATGAAGTGGGGGCTGATGGTTTCATCTCAATTAGCTGACATTAACTAGCTATTTTTCACTCTGTGCTGCCTGTGAAACATGGGACTAGAAGGGACCTCCTGAGTCAGCAAGTCCATTCCCCTGCTACTGCAGGCAAACATGTCATATTGTCCTTTGCTGGAAAATTGTTCCAAAACCTTACTGCTCTCATGATTAGAAACCATGTAATTTCCACGTTTATTTCATTCATGGCCAGTTTTATCTATTTATTCTTATGCCAATACTGTCTTTAATCTGAAATAGCCCTTGTCCTTCCTTGATATAAACCCTCCCCTTCCATATTTCTGCAAAACAATTAGATCCACTCTCAGCCTCTGTTGGTCTAGGCTAAGCAAGCCAAGCTCTTTTAGCCTACTTTCCATATGAGAAGCTTCCATTTCTATGACTGTCCCAGGAGTCCTTCTCTACTCTTATTACAGTTTGAGTTTACCTTCCTTGAATCTGGCTGACCAGAACTGTACACATTGTTTCAGATGACGACTGATGAATATGTTGTACAAAGGAATAAATATTTTCCTGTCTCTACTGGAAAGTTCACAGAAAATACATCCTAGAATCCCACTTCTTTCTATCACAGCTGTACAAAATGGAAAGCTTCTCTTCACTGTGTGATCAACTAATACATTAAGGTCTTTCTTATTGTTGTTCCTAAAAAACTTGCTCTCCATTTATAGCAGAAATTCTTGTTACTAGTCCCTAGCTCTATGGCCTTGTACTTCCTAGGATTACATTTCATACCTTTTAAATTTAAATAATTCTCAACATCATCCAACTTTTCCTGCATAGTATTCCAACCCTCTTCTGTATTAGCATACTCCCTAATTTTGAGTCATCAAAGTTCCTTAGCACACTCCAATTTTCCTTGCTCAGTATACTAGTGAAAACATGAAATAATATGCATTTTAACACTGATCCTGTCAGGTACTTCACAAATAGTCCCTCACCACCCCAGTTCTCTCTTTCAAATCTTGTTCTTTTTGCCCCTTTAACCAGTTCCTTACCTACCTAACAATTCTTCTATTAATCCACTCTTCTTCAGTTTAATTAATAATTTCCCATGTGTCACTTTACCAAACGCACAGATATTAGATCCAAGGCATTTCCTTTGTCTAGAAAATTAGCTGTCTTCTCAAAGAGAGATATTGTGTAAGTCTAGCATAGATCACCTTTGGTAAACCCATGATGCATTTTATCCCATTGTTCATTTACCTCCTTCCTTGGTTTATTGTTTTGTTCAAAAATTGTTCTAAAGCCTGGGCAAATTAACAAGACTGAATTGCATTTCCCCTTCTTAAATATAGGTACCAACATCAGCTATTCTCCAGTTGTAGGACAGTATCCTAAACACTGCCCTCAATTCATTAAATTTCTTTGCTATTGGACCTGTGATTTCATGTGCCAGATCCTTCAGAATTCTAGGATAACTTCAACGTAGGTGAATATTTATCTCTTTGAGCTTAGCTTCCACAACAGTTGTGGTAATTTTCATTTCATTTCCTCATCCCATCACCCAACCAGCCTTTGTCCATTTGTTGAACATAAACTGTCATTAATGAAACCTAGGGCAAAATATTATTTTATACCTGGATTGTCTTTAATGACTACATCATCATCACTATGCAGTAGCCCAGCTACTTCTTTCCTTGTCCTCTTTCCACGTATATGTCTGAAGAACCATGTTGCTATGTAGGAACACACAATTGAAAAGGACCTTCTGAGCCACCAAGTCCTGTTCTCTGAATTCACAGGCAACTATTTACCCAGAGAAGTCTAAACCTGGCCCACTCCAAACCCACACACACAGCCGCAAGGCCCATAACTAGAAACAGCCAGAACATGCTATAAACACATCATAGATAAAAGCAGATTAGATGAGGATGCTGCCAAAGCCCTGTCACAGCAAAGACAGAGAAGCAGTTGATTTAGATAAACTCAGAGGAAGAGAACTACTCCCACATGAAACCCCCCCACAGTATGCGCCAACCTGACCCAGGGAAAAAAATCCTTCCTGACCCCAATTTGGTGATTGGTCTGACTGAGTAGAAGAGCAAACCCTTAACCAGGAAACTAAGCATCTTCTAAATATTGGAAGGAACACTGGCACACCCCAGTCAAAACTTCCCGGCCTCAGCTGTGGCCAATATCTAATGCTTCAGAAGGAGAAAAATAAAATCCCCAGAAGTCAGTAGTAGTCACAAGGGGAAAATAAATCCTTCCTGGGAATACAAAGACTTAATCCTACTATCATGTTTATTAAAGAACTCCCTATCCTAGAATATTATCCTTTCTATAAATTTTATCAAGTTCAATATTAAAACAAAGTTATTTGCCCAAGCTCCTTTCTGCAGATGCCCACTTTAAAACTTCATTCTTTTGATGGTTAGAAATCTTCTCATTTCCAATCTAAATTTGTTCAATACCAGTTTATGCCAGTACTATTCTTTAGCCTTTTCTCCTCCTGCCCCAAATTTTAATTTCCTTTGCAAGCGTAACTCAGTTTGACTTCTGATAATTTTCACTCTATCCCAAGAGTGATCTTGACTTCTATGACAACTTTCTTTGCTGATCAGTACTATTATATTAGTGTTATTCGATCTCAGATCTGTATCTGGGAAATTAAATCCTCCCAAATGACACATAACTTATATTACACAGACAGATCTATAGGGCTAGGGACAGACATTCAAAAAGCCCGAGCTTGAATTGATTCAGTCTTGGCAAGTTAGTCTAACCCGCAGAGGGTGAACTGGTTTGCGAGTGGATAGACATTTGGCACGTGCCTGAAGTGGCTCAACCCAAAGCCTGGGGGCGCTAGAGCAGCCCCTGAGCTGAGGGGAGGGGGGTGTGGCCAGGCCCCGGCAGGCCCACCCCAGCAGCTCCTTGACAGCTGGGAGCAAGCCGGGCACACAGGGCTGCCCAGCACCAGAGGGGAACTCTTTCCCCTTCCCCCTCTCCGTTACAACCATGGGGCCAGGAGAGGGGCCCTGTTTGGCGCTGTGGACACTCTTCTACCTCCTCCTCCCTCCTCCTGCGGCAGGGTGGGGCGGGGTGCTTTGTTAGGCTGCCTGGCTCCAGGTGGGTCTCTTCCAGTCTTCCCTCTGCTTCTCCCCCATTGCTGTGGGGTGGGGAGGGGGGGCTCTATGAAACTGTGCCCAGCCCCAGAGGAAGACTCTTCCCCCCACTCCTCCCTCTCCCCACCCCCGGGGCAGGGGGAGGCTTTGTTCCATGCTGGGGGGAACTCTTTCCCCTCCTCCTCCTCCCCCCCTACCGAGGGGCAGTGGGAGCACGGAGCTCAGCTGGGCACGGTGTGGGTGTGCGGGGACCTCCACACACTCCCTGCATAGCATGCAGCCCCTGCTGCCTGGCAGCAGCAGCAGCAGGCAGGGAGGTCAGGGCACTTGTGCCCAGCGCAGGCATGATTCTGGCTAGTGCTGCACAGGGGGATGGGGTGGAGCCTGCGTTATCCCGCAACTCCGCTCCCCGAGCTTGAGCCTGCAGCAGAAGAAGCCCCACACTGGAGTTAGCTGCTTCCCCCACTCCCTGCTGTGCAGGGGCCTGCACCCTGCCAGCAGTGGAGGGAGCCCTGCCCCCTGCTTCCCTGCAGAGTCCAGCCCGGGGTTCCCCATCAAGTACCTCACAGAGTCCTCCTCCCCACCCTGGAAGGAGGAAGAGGAGGAAGAGTCCCCCCCAGCATGGAACAGAGCCCCCCTCCCCACCCTGTGGGACGACCAACATAGCCCCATTAAGGTGAAGGGTTAATTCCTCCCTCTGTCCCTTCCCTGCAGCCAGGGTCTGCCAGCTCCAGGAGCCACCACTGCAGCCCCCTCCCCTCTGCTGCCCGGCAGACAGGCTGACCCAGGTTGTGGTGGGGGAAGAGGGGAAGGAAGGAAGAATTAACACCCTCCCTGCCCAGTTTGCCTTAAGGGGGCCATGCCAGCCGGTGTCTCTGCTAGGGGTGGTCCCTGCTCTGGCTAGAGAGCAGAGGTGCAGGGTCAGCCCTGTGGCTGGAGCAGAGACCCCAGGCCAGAGAGCATGCCGGGACGCTGGGGGTGTCTAGTTTATCTTAAACCAGCAAGGGGTCTCGGACAGACATTGAATAAACTGGTTTGAGCCAAATCAGTTAAGTCTGATACTACATTCAACCAGGTTTATTTCATTCCGGTTTTGGCCATTTTGAAACTGGTTTATTTGCACTGAATGTCTGTTCTGTTACAGGTTTAAACCAGTTCCTGATCACTTAAACCAGTTTGTGTGTAATGTCTGTCCCTAGCCAAATAGACTCTTAGCTGTACTCCACTAAAACCTCTTTTACCAACCTTCCCAAGAGTGATTCTGGGCCACACAGATTCTATTTTATCCATACCATCCCTTTTAATGCTCTTACCGTCTAGTATACCTTAATATA